GTTGAGCCCGCATCATTTATTCATCGTGAGCGTCAGGTTCCTGGGAGGCCACCTGCGCCATCTCTGCTGGGGTGAGGGCAGATGTGGGTGGAACCCTCCCCCACAGGCAATCGGACTTTTGGACCTCCCACTCCACTCCAACGACACTGAGGTAGAGAAAGCAGGGAGGGAGAAAGGGACAGGTTGGCTGTAGGCCCTTCTTGATCAAAGGATTCCCCCTCCCACCCCACCCCATCTCTCTTAGTTTCTCCACTTTGGACAAAGGGAGAGGCTGGAATTGACTGATCTAGAAGGCCCTTCCAATTCTGACTTCCTGAGTTGGGGGGTAAAATGGTACTGGGAGGGGACAGAGAGGGCATGTTGCTATGGTGACAGGCACTGAGGGATGTCCTGGCCTTGCTGGGCTGGCTTCCTGCCCAGAGGCAGCTCTGGTCACCCTGGACACCAGAACAGGAGGGGTGAGGGGTATGGACAATCGGGGATAGTACAGTTAGAGCTGTCCAGATGCTGGCATTGTGAAGGATCCAGCAGCTTCTGTCCCAGGGGACAAGGTTAGCTACCCCCAGAGGACCATTTTCCCACCCTGCTGACCGTCCTGCCAGCCTGGGCCTTGACTCTAGCAGGTCCTTGCAGTTGGCCCCTACACTGTGGGAACATTGACTACCCAGGGATGGAGTTTCTGAGCAGCTAGGGAGATGTGGGTGAGGGCTGAAGCCTGAGGGGGAGTGGGAAACTTGGAGCTTGGAGATGCCTCCTGAGTGTTAGGAGAAGCAGGCCCAGCATCTTTCTCCCACCAAGCACAGCAGTGGAGGCCAGCCCAGGCTGTGTATGGGGAGACGGCTCAGCAAGGCTGTTACAACTGGGTCCCATGGGGCTCTATCCTGGATGTGTCATTGATGGATAAGGACTGAGCTAGGCCTCAGAGTGGAGCAGAAAGCCAGCAGCCCTTCAGGGACTGCGGATGGCAGGGCAGGCAGGGAAATGGCTACTTTTTGAAAAGGACTGCAGGCCCCAGGATGGGCTGTTAAAGAGAGTTCAACAGTAGATGGCAAAATCTCGGGCCATTTCTTCCAAAGCAAGCAAGAAGCAAAACAAAATCCAGAACCAACACAACACAACCCCCCCCCCCCAGGAATGCTTCTAAAAGCAAAGCATTAGCAACAGGTCTCTGCCTCCCACTTCCTCAAGCCTCAGCCACAGGCCAGGCCACCAAGGGCTACAGAAGGGCCACAGAAAGCTAACTGATGGCTTGAAGGCTGGAGAGGGGTGGGGGGTAAGGGAGTTGGGGAGCTGGGGAGATCCGGACAGTTATCCTCAGGATGCGTGCTTAGAGGGGCAGGGTTGGGCTTTGATCAGGTGAGCCAGACGGTGACATTTGTTGGTTCTCTTTGCCTCTATGCTCTGACCTAGGGAACAAGCAGCCAGAGGCTATCACAGGGCTGATGGTGGCAGGGAGCCGAGGTACGGAGGTGGGCTGTGAAAGCTGTGGGCCACCTTAGCAGGACAGGTAGGCTTACTGCTCACAGGACCGCCACTTGCTGCTTAGCCCAGGGAGGGTTCAAGGTTCACTGTCTTGGAGGTGGAGAGACGGCTGAGCAGTTAAAGAGTATTTGTTGCTCTTGAAGAGGACCCATGTTTGATTCCCAGAACTCACATGGTGGCTCACAACCATCAGTAGCTCCAGTTCCTGGAGATTTGATACGCTCCCCTGAACTGGACAAGCATGTGATGTACAGGCAAAACATCCATACACATTAAATAAAGTAAGCTAATTTTAAAAATTAAAGTTCATTGTCTTGTTTGTCCACCAAGAAGTAGGGCAAGCCAGAATTGTAGCTCAGGGGCAGAGTGCTTGCCTGGCATACACAAAGCACTGTGTTCAATCACTGGCACTGCAAAAATAAATAAAAATAAAGTAAATGGAGCGAGAGAGAAAAGGAGGGAAAGCAGGCTGCGTCTCTGCAGGCTCTCTCTCTCTCTCTCTCTCTCTCTCTCTCTCTCTCTCTCACACACACACACACTTTTTTGATGTAGGGTTTCACTATATAGCTCAAGCTGACTTCAGACAGGGTCTTGGACAGAACTGATAGTGCACTGTTAATCTCATACGCTTTTGAATCCAAGTCTTTTTATCCAATGCATGCCCCCAGATGCCTTCCCATTACACACACACACACACACACACACACACACACACACACACACAAATACTGTCATGCAGACTTCAAAATCCAATTGGCTTAGAATAACAGGGTATCCCAAAGGTCTTAGTGTGGAAGTTTTAAGCTTTAATAATCAAAGAATTATAAAGTTATGAATTTACCAGAAATACCATCTGATGACTGAAGTACCACATGACTGTAACCCCAGCACTCAGGAGCCAGGGGCAGGAGGATTGCTTCAAGTCTGAGGCCAACCTGCTGAGTTGTGGACCAACCTGGGTTACACAGAAAAACAAAAGAAATAGCATTTGAAAGCTTACTTATCTAAACTTTTTTTCCCCCTCTGGTTGACAAAAAGGGCTGTTAGTCAAAATTCACAAAACATAGTTAATATAAGAGAATTTAGATAATTAAGCTTCCAAAGTATGTTTATTTTTTAAATAAGTTTTTTAAGATTTATTTATTATGTATACAGTGTTCTGCATGCCTGTATGCCTTCATTCCAGAAGAGGGCGCCAGATCTTATTATAAATGGTCATGAGCCACCATGTGATTGCTGGAAATTGAACTCAGGACCTCTGGAAGAGCATTCAAGTTCTCTTAACCTCTGAGCCATCATTCCAACCCCTCAAAATACATTTCTTATAAATTTATTGCTTTACTTTTTATATAATATCTGTAGTTATTAAAGCTTAAACTTAGCCCTTGGGAGGTGGAGAGAGGATCAGGGGTTCAACTCCAGCCTGAGATCCATGAGACCTGACTCAAAAAACAATACCACAAAAAGCTCAATGGTACTGATGCCATGAGCCCTCCAGCTGGTTACCTAACCTTCAGTCCTTATCTGTAAAATAGGGACCTGACAAGCCATCCCAAATGCTAGTCTTTATTTTATTGTCATTGTTGAAGGCTATATAATGCAGTATATTGAATAAGAGCAAAGCCATATATCTCATCCAACCAGGGCCCTATCATTTTACATTTAGTGTTTCCAGTTTTCCAACAAAAATGCAATTTACACTCTGATCAGAATG